TACTATTATTATTACCAGAAATTTCCAACTTTCCATATTAGTCATTAATATCCGACTGCCATTTTGTCCACACATGTTTTGCGATACGTGTTTCACCTCTAAATGAACCATATTAATGTTAATCTATACCTAAATATACTAAAATTGTAACTAATACCTTTTGTGAAGGTGTTAGTTACAATTAACTATTTTAGTTTAATCAATTAACTACAATTAACTAGAAGGAACTATTTTAGTTTTAGAAGTGTTATTTATTAAAAAGTATCTATACCATGTTTAATCATCTAAGTAATGGTTTATGTATACATACATTGAGTTTAATTATAATCCATCTTTACAAATATCTACATTTATATTATTATTAGATTTTACTTAGTATTTTTTTAGTCAATTAGAAGAACTAATAATATTTTTTATTCAACTTAGAATGGCAAACAAGCAATGACAGTTAACCTGATGGAAAGTGGTAACTGTTGTCTATAGATATGAGCAGTACCATGGACATAACAGAGTATACTGTTTCGCCCATGATACCCTCCACGCCTTGCCATTCCTGAGGACAGCTATTATTCTTCTGTACCCTGTAAATTCACTGCCATATCTCACCCTTCATACCGAAACACATATTAGTAAGGTTTATAAAAAATGATAACTATGTATATAAGAGCTTCAGAAGTTGAATTATTGTGAATTATGGAATATAAATGTTATGTAAGTAATCGGTTTGGGTGCTATCTGTCTGTCAATGTCTGATATTCTGTCGATCCGTCAGTTGCTTCTTTTTTATGTATGTTCGTTCAATAAGTAGGAGTAATTTATAAAGTTAGATCATTTTGTTTTTTTCAAATACTTATTAACTAGTTACTAATTAGTAAAATCATTTGAATACGGAAATTAGTATATTACTAATTTTGTAGTCGACTTATAAAATTTGTAATTATTAAGTATTCGAATAACAAGATCATTTGCATTCGCGCATCGCTAAAACAAAGTCACTACTAGCGTTTATTTATTTCTTCACTTACTTTTTATCAACCACGCAACTAAGAATGCATTTTATTTTCTAATATTTAGTTACTCTTAACAAAAATTATTGTATTTAGTATTAGCATAGCACCCGTGGAAGCCGGGGTAGGTCGCTATTTAATTAGTATAAGTATGACGCAATAAGAGAAGGATAGATGGACAAATAGACAAAATAACAATGATACTTCATATTTTATTTTATTAGATTAGTAAAAGAAAATAAATACACCATACCTCTATATCCTGCATATAGATAATTATATTAAGAGCTTTAGCCAAGAAAATAATAAAAAAATACTAAAAGGTCTAGGTCGAGTCCACTTTTTGTTTCCTTATATTTCTTACAACTTTTTCAGAATTGCACTAATTTATTTATACGAGTATATGAAAATATCGTTTTGAACAGAAAAAAGTACTGGCATTGTTTATGTAAAGTGTAGTTATTTTCGTCGAAATAATGACCGTTATTATTGATACACATCTGCTATTGCAGGCAAATGATTATTGTCAGTGACGTAGGAGTTTGCATTTCCGCTGTGGACACAATCAATAACGGTTACATTTTAGTTGTACTTGTAGTTGATCTTGTGGGAATCAAATTCTTTACTTTCAATATTAATGCAAATTGCACATGTCTAAAAAGGTATAGGTAAACTTATTTTGGGAATTTGTATATATTTAGGAAAAAAATATTTCATTATCATTAAGTTAGGATAGATCTGGTAAAATGTAGAATTATTTATATAATAGCTGCTATATTATATTTAAATGCGATCATACGTGATCATATTTCGGTAGTGTATTGTATGGTGAACCTATTGAATAAATACTGATGAAAACAAGGATATACCTATTTACGATGGGTAGTCATCATTAAACACATATTTTTATAATAGACAATAGTAAAATACTCATTGCATTTAATATATTTATTTAAACATAATATTTAAAATTTCGTTATTGTAATATGTATGGAGGTAGCCGAAGATATTCTTAAGGTGTGGATTGTTTAAAATGAGACAAGTTGATAGTGGTAAGAGCTTTACTGTAAAACTGTATTTTATTATAGATGTTTCATGAACTGTAAACTTTTGTGAAACCCGCCTGTATTTTTAATATGATGATGCATATAATTTTAAAGGTACAACACGTCAGTAAATCTTGAACACAGATAAGTATCTTATCAGCTTTATCAAATTGATTGATGGAAAACACAAATAATGGGGGAATAAAAACAAGTATGAAAGAAACGGCAATAATAATAATTAATATATAAATAACATAACTCAGCTACGTTGGAAACAACATAGTCGTGACGTCATTAGTCGTCTAATGTAAACAATTTTATACCTACTTTGTAGGGTAGCTTCTGGACAGCTGAAGTAATCGATCGTATGTGAGGTTATAAACGTTAAGTAAATTGGTGTTTTAAAAATTTATTTAGTATGTCACAACACAAGGTACAACTTCAGTCTACAGTCCGAGTTTTTATATATAGCACTGATAAGATCGATTTGTATATTTAGCTTGTAATGTAATTGCTAAGAAAGCCATCAAAATAATAATTCATAAAAATATATTTTTAATGTAGTTCTTAGCGAATATTGACTTCATAAACCTGTGGTAAATGATATATTACTATTTTAACAATCTAAAAGTCGAGTGTGTTATATTATATTAATATTAAGATATAGGCTATTTTTAATGAACAAGTTTTCATTGACTGGGAAAAATTTTGGTTATACATCTAATTAAATTATGCTTTGTTGTTTTTATCCCTATCTCCATATTGTCAAGGAAATCGTTTTATATAGTTTATACTAAGTATTTTTTTTTGTTTTTACTTTTCCTGTTAGCTTCGTATCCACCTTATCGTAAGTGATTATGAAATCCATATCAATAAGTAGTAGAGTAAGAGCCCGTGACGGCCAAACCTTCGTTATATTATAAAAGCTGAAACTTTCTCTGCGCATACTCCTAACACAGGTAGAACGATCAGGGAGTACATATTTATGATCATCGTGGCTTTGGCAGGTAACAGGCAACAAAGATCTCCACGTGGTTCCCCCTGGAAACCATCGTGAACAATTCTTGTTGAATTCGTCACGTTGGGCTAACTGACGTACTTCATCCTCATCTATCATCCTTCACTGGTGCCCTGTCGGTGTATACCGATAACGCGGGTGGGGTTACCATTCCATTATCATCTATTAAAAAAAAAAAAACGGGCAACAAAGATATATAAAATTGTTCCCTAAAAACGTCAAAGTATAAAAATATTAGAAAACACGTCATCTACTTGTATTGCCAGACACTTAGTATCGTTCTAACCTCTTGTCAGATGCGTTTAAACTTACGTTATTGCATAAAAGCTGAATATATAAATATGTTGCAGTCAAAACTCTTAACCAGTCAAAAGTAATATTGACTAGCAAAATCAGTCAAAAGTACTTTTGATTGAATAGGTAGGTCAAAAGTGGTTTTGATTAGCTAAGATAAGATGAAATAAAAAGATATTTATTAAATGTGAAATCGTTTATTACGAAAAATTTGGCATTACAATCAATACAAAGAAAACATACTAACCTAACCTAATTTAAGTAAATTAGGTTTTTTTTTAATGGGTGATAATGGAATGGTATCGGTATACACCGGCGGGGCACCAGTGAAGGATGAGATAAGTAAGGATGAATCAGGTCAGTTAGCCCATCGTGACGAATTCAACAAGAATTGTTTATGATGGTTTCCAGGGGAAACACGTGGAGGTCGACCTAATAGGGTATATTGCTAGCAATGGGACTGTCAAACTCTATTGCTAACAATCCCTTTCCCCCCAGTAAATTAGGTTAGGTTAGGACTTTTTAAGAGTTTTGACTGGTACACCACTAAACAGTACAGTAAAACCACTTTTGACGGAAAGTCAAAAGTACTTTTAACTAGCTCCATTGGGCAAAAGTACTTTTAACTGTAATTTTAGTTAAAAGTATTATTGGTTAAAGCATACGGTCAAAAGTACTTTTGACTGATTTTGCTAGTCAATAGTACTTTTAACTGGTTAAGAATTTTGACTGCAACATATACATATATTACTTAGGAAAATATTAAAAGATATTTCTTCAGTAGCCAGTTTTGATAATTTTTACACCTTTCCAGAGAAGCCGAAAGTCTCCCGTAGATGCGAGTGCAAGGCAATATACTTACAAGCGGGTGTGAGTGAGATATATGTATTTTTCGACATATCGGAAAATTTGCATTATATAGAATTATTTATGATTAAAAAATAAATCTTTAGAGAATTATTCAGTAGAATTTTCACGGTAAGAAAACAATGAAGAATAAATATAATAAATGTTATTTTATAATATAACGAAGGTCTGGTCGTCTCGAGCTCTTAGGCCGTATCTTATGCCTAGGTTGCTTATAATATGAATAGTACCATCTTGAATGGATGCTGTGGAACTTATTGGATATTTGGAAGAATAATTTGAAAGGTGTTAATAAAAGGTATCCATTACTTTATAATATAAGAAATTCTGATTATGAGTATTTACGTCATTAAAAATATAAATGTTAACCTCAGTATACCTCTAATATCGTAGAGAGGAAGTGTTATTCTTTGAAATATTCAAATAGATGTTTTGCCCTTTTATGTATTATCAGTTTTTATGTTAGTTCATGTATATTACTCATGGGTATTCATTTATCATATTGAATTATATACGTTACCTATATATTTTGTCTAAAATTGTGTAAAATTGGTTTATTTGGATAAGAGAGCTTTTAAATATTTTTTTGTCTTTAAAATTGTAAAGGAATAAATATAAGATTATGTTATAAATATTGTTTTTTACCGCTTCTTAGGTCATTCTAGGGATACATCTCTTTTATAGACTCTTTAATAATCACCATTGTTAATTCTATTATTATAGAATTATGCGATTAAAGAGTAGTAATATATAATAAAGTACACTAACCTGTAGATTATGGTAAAACCACAGTGAACCAGTGACGGATATCGCGAACCATAGGAATAATGTGAACACAGATATTTGGCTGAGGTGTAAAGCATTCAATAAAGTGGACAACACGACAGCTAGAGCATGGCACAGGACAATTGGCAACGCGCAGCGGTCGATGATGTCCCATGGCACCTCCTGCAATAAAATAAATATAGGTAACATATAGTAAACCTTAGCTTACTTATGCGATCTTATATATAATTTCATAAATCCTTTCATACTTATCACTTTACTATTATTACATAGTATAAAACAAAGTTGCTTTCCGCCTGACTGTTCCTATGTATGCTTAGATCTTTAAAACTACGCAACGGGTGTAGATGCGGTTCTCTTAATAGGTAGAGTGATTCAAGAGGAAGGGTTATATGTTTTACTGTTTTCCTGGATGAGCGTATTGGAAGACTGTAAAGCTCATCCAGTTGATGTAATAAATAAATAAATAAATGTATAATATATGCATAATATAGTAGAGATACACTGATAATTTTAGAGGTTTCTAATGTAACGTCGTAAACACATTTTTTTTAGCTTACATTGCAAACGCTGGCTAAACCCTAAGAGATAATTCAAATAAAAAAAAAAATACAAAATAATGTACTACAGTATTATACATCTTAAGAAGGTCTACAAAAAAAGTCTGCAATGGTAGATGTCTATCTCTTAGGGATAACCCACAATAATCCTTTTCCAATTAAGTGCCTTAAATACATTGTGCATTTAATATAGATCAATATGGCCATGTACAACATGTGATTTAAATAAATATTTTCGAAGATATTACAGATTTAAAATGCGAGGACATAGCGGTTGCGGTGGTATCGGCCGGGACAGGTCGCTAGTAATATTACAAACTAGCGGCCTGTCCCGGCTTTGCACGGGTGGACATTTTTACATTTTAAAAAGTGGCCATTATGGCTGTACACGCGACAGAAGCCTAAAAATGGAGTAATTTCTCCCATTTTCCCAACATTTCCTTTTACTGCTCTGCTCCTTTTGATTGTAGCATGATGAAAAGTATACTATAACCTGCCCAGGAGTATGAAGAATAATATACAAAGTTTCGTTAAAATCCGTCGGGTAGTTTTTGTTTCTATAACCAACAAACAGACAGATAGACAGACAAAAATTTTATTGATTGCATAGGCATCAGTATCGATCACTAATCACCCCCTGATAGTTATTTTGTAAATATATTTCATGTACAGAATTGACCTCCCTACAGATTTATTATAAGTATAGACTAGCGACCCAACTTGCTTTCACATAGGAACGCAAGTAGATCTCTAATTTATTTGAAAATAAACAATCAAAGATATTTAAATTTGCTCGAGATTACTGGTAATATTAATTATGTGGATAATTAAAAAAAAAAAAACATATATTAGGGTAGATAAAACATCACACCCAAACACAAAATTTAATATGAGATGCTATGTGAATTATACATGTGTTATATTGTCCAAGAAGAATTTCAGATTGATTACGGTATATGCCTGCGTCATTCTATTGTTATTATGTTTAGCTATTAAATCAATTACCCTCCTCCTAAAAGTAGGCATCGGCTGTAGTCAGCCAACCAGAATCACCACTGTTTAGTAAGTTGTAGGCGTATTGCCTCCATTTCTAAGAAAAATGCCGATGGTCCGATTTCTATCTAAAAAATTATGGTAAATTGTTTGCTTTAGTTGATGTTGATCAAAGTAAATGTTTTTTTGTTTTCTTTAAATAGACTCTCGCATATTAGTCAAAGCGGGTTCAAAAACACTTAGGTATTTACTTAGTTGCTGATTAATTTGCAAATATATTTAGTACCTATATATTACATCAACGTAACAGATTTTGTAAGCATAAAATATCAGGGCTTTAAATATTTCATCATTTTTAACTAAATACGCTCATATTAAGTATTGTAAAATGTAATCAACAAAGTGGAAAAAATTAAATTTGTTAAAAATAAAAAAATATAAGGCAATAGCACACAAAAATAAAAATAGTTAAATGTGCATGGGCTAAATTAAAATATTGAGGGTAATTCCGCCCATAAAATAATTTGTGAATAGGATTCAGATTTCTTATGAAAATTTAGACAAGTAGTTAAGAAGAAGGCAATTTATTTGAGTATAATTTAACTTTCAACTGACAGCATGTGTCGCTGCTGAAACTCTTAGAACTAGCACTAACTCTGTAATATATGAAGTTTTTTTTTTAGTATGAAATATTTGGTGTCTCACTATGTAGGTAGGTTTGCATCACAATGCCTTTTGCCGGTATATTAAACTAGATCGTAAATAATTATATGTAACTTTCTTAGTTATTTCCTGTTTGTACTGGAACTTCCAAAAAATTTGTCTTAGATTCTTACTAAGGAAAGATATTTTGATTTATATAATATATATTTTTAATATCTAAATTTTTTATTTAATTGAATTACTATATTTACATGCTAAATTAAACAAAACAAAGACTGAAAGCAAGCAAGTACATTTTGTTTTAATACTTAGGGGTTTATTATTTATTTTTCTTTATTTAAACTTTAATGCACAGTAAAATTCGATGTACTTTGGTAGACTTAAACCGGACAGTATTCTCTACCAGTCAACCGTTGAGCAAACCGGGAAATACGTAGGGGGTGCATTATTAAATGGAGGAAAAATAAAGCAATACTTGATATATTCATATAATATAAATATATTATAAGACTAATATAAACATAAACCTAATACATTAAATAAATAAATATATACAGACAATAAATACATATATAAATAAATACATAAAATATTACTATATAAAACAATTAAATAAAACAACTGTAATAGAAGAGCAAGTAGCAATCTATGATTCAGAGTAACCAGCAAGAGAAGTTTAAAGGGAAAGTGATTTTTCTAAGAAATAGGTGCGCAATTTGTATTAGAAATTTTATATATTTTAAGTTTAGAAATGTTTTCATCATTGTGGTAAAAGTTTTTCTTCTCACGCTAAAACCTCATGTTTTCATCTATTATCAGCGGTTTATTTATTTATTTGATATTTAGAAATATGGTAAAAAGTTATTAGGGGTTTAAATCTTCTGAAACACTTAAGAAACATTTAAGAATTTTATTATGGTAGTAGTAGTAGAGGTTATATTTGTAAGACAAGAGATTATAGTAAAAATAATTATATGAATACATAAAGTGATATAAAAAATATATTTACTCGTACGTTGGAATTTTTTTTGTGAAGTCACCACTTTCGTAGATATTTTCAACGTACTGTAAATTTATATCTGAAAGATATTTAACAATTATATCATATAGAGATGAAGTGAATGACCTTGATACTACTCTCAAACATTATAGTTCACTTATGAATATATAAACCATGGCATAAGGACATTTTATCATGCGAGTAAATTTTTTTCATAACCTACAGCGATCTAATGTTTGATTCGTAACTAGTGATTTAAAAATGCTGTTATAAATAGCTATAGATTAGTAGGCATGTTATTAGAATTTTCGATAATAATACTATACGATTAAAAGTTAATATTTGACTTTTAATCGTATGGTATTACATACATATATATGGTATCACAGATTTTACTAATATATATTAACAAGACGCTGTTTTTAGTAAGATTATTAATTACTGCATTATCTGTTAAACTTCAAACAAAATTAAATGATTCTACACTATTAGAAATATTAATTGTTTTTTTAAATCTATAATAAGCTATGCAAAAAGCTATGATTTTTTTTATTGTTAGGGAGGTAAACAAGCAGACGTACCACCTAATGGGAAGCGGTTTTTCGACGTCAATTAAATATAAGTATTATTTTGATATTTTTGATATTATCAAATTAAATATCCTGATTCAATTCCAACATTCCTTTTTTACTTTATATTCAAAATAAACGAAAATGATGCAATACTTTTTAATTCAAATACTTTTGCGTGCTTTTAGTTCATTGTTCTTTAGTGATATTAGAATAAACAATCGCGTATTGTGATTTTTTTTTAGTATGGATGTAAGTAATAAGAGGTTTAAGAATTATATTACATTTGAAAAGGGCTGTAAAATTATATTACCTGAGACTGGGACTGTGGGTTCTTAATGAGAGAGCCACGACGCGCAGATGGTCTCCGATGCATAGAAGGAGCGGTGATTGAGGCACGTCGCGTCACGTCCCCCGCAGCCATCTTTGATGCCTATCACTCTTCAAGTGTTCTACCGATAATATATATATCGGCGCAAGCGTTATTATCGATAGCTGTGAACGAGGAAAAATTAACTGGGTATTACCATTATAAATAAATATAAAATATTTTCATAAACGCAAATGATTTTATATTAAACCGTAAAGTTATATCGCGATAAACATAAATTAAAAGGCTGTATTTTCTTTTGCTACAAACAGAAATTAAGATTCTCATTCGACACGAACGAACACAGAGACAATAGTCTCTGTATTCGTTCTCACATGTCGTGTTATAATATAATAAGAAAAAAAAGTTGGTAACTATCTCAAATTTTACTTTACAGTTTTTATTTTATAGTTTAAGCTGTGTTATTTATAACCTTTGTTTCATTATTTATATTATTCGTCGCAGTACTTTTATGTATTTAACACTTTTATGTATTTTCTGTGTTTACTACTTTCGAGCACATAAATTATGTATGGAGGGATTAATAATGTGACATCAATGACACAAAGTAAGTAAATATGAAGATAAGAACAAATAAAGACTGTTCGGATCAAGCGTTCTGAGGTATAATATGTGAGTGGTCTTATGGGAGCCCTGGTGCAGCGTCATAAATAGAAAGTGCAGCTGATGTAAATGTCGCGAATCATTCACACCGGCGGCTGGGAGGTGTTTATTTTTATGTCCACAACGCTCGCCTAAACATCGCCTGTACTACTTTTATATTATGATTTCTGAAAGGCGACGTGTAGGTGTTACATTAATTTAATATCCGACCATTTGTGATGATAAAATTATACGGGTATATATACTTACAATATAAAAATGATCCTATATGATTTTCTTTTAAAACTCTCTCTGTAACATATTAAATATTATTTAGATGAGTTTTGTCTAATGACTTTTGTATTTGGTTTGAATAGAGTACTAAAGGAAAAATGTATACCTGGAATTTAGGTACAATTTTTAATGACGGTTTAGTAGGGTCCATTAGATTTTAGTTTATAGGTCTTTTCCATATTTTAGGTAATCTGAGTTGTTATAGTAATTACATATCTTAAAATTGTTTTAGAATCAATTTACTGTCGGAGATGATTATGATATACAGACAACAGTGGAGAAATTTAATAAAAATAACAACATATATAATTTGTTGAGTTGATTAATGTTACTATATTGTGGACGCATCGGTTATTGAAATCGGTTATATAAATTTGTTCAATCATACGTATTGGTTTGTTGGTAAGGTGAGAGAACTAAATAATAGCGTAATCTTTCAATAGTCATATTGTCATATCAGCCGTTAACTGTCCATTGTTGAACATAGGCCTGTTTTTTGGAGGGGTTTTGCTAGTAGTTGCCACGCTTGGTGGGCGGGTTGGCAAATGCAGTTAGACTTTGATAACACAAGGCAACAAATTTCAAACTTTTTTATACAACTGTCAAAATTTTACTAGTTTCGAACTACAATTGCCTGACATAACTAGAAACTGAAAGAGTATTTTTATTGTAACAGGTTTAAATTTATAGATACGGTGATACTTGGAAAAATGAGAAATTAACGTAAAAAAATCGTTTGAATAATTTATATAAATTAAAAGCATAATTTTTTTAACATAATAGTAGTAATTTCAAATTGCCCACTATTATAGAATATTTGAAGCTTAAAGATACAGGTTTTATTTGGATAATAACTTCTCTTTTGCCTTTTGTGTGATGTTGAAAAATCTTTTTTGAGAAATCAACAAAAATCTGCTAGCATAGCTGGATCCCATCGTATTTGATATCTTATTTCTATTGTTCGTACATCCTGATGAAACTTCTCTCTTTATTCATCACTCATTGGGCCAAGTTTATAAGGAAAAAAGTCTAAATGACAGTGTAGAAAATAGATTTTAAGAGATATTCTGTATTTTACATTTTGGTACGATTAAAGCAATTCATGTACTAAAAGTTGATAGTTTTCTGATTTTTATTGCCTAGAAAGCCTTTTATGATTGTAACAAAAAACTTCCATGCTTGTGGATTTTTGGATTTAATTTTTGGGTAAACAATTCATCCTTAATCTTCTTATTTACGGACCTATAAAAATTCCTAATGACAAATTTGGATATTTTATTTTATGTTTATCCTTCTTCGAGTATCCGGAGATATTTACCGTGCAAAAATAGCAATTATTTACATGATTCGAAGGTTCTCGCTACAGTATAGGAACTGCAAAAGGCATTTTCTTTTATTTAACTTTCATTCACTTCACAAGGCCCATGTAACAAGAAATACAACACATTTAACGTGTTCATGACTTTTCAATATCTCTAATCGTAAATCAAAAATAGGAGCAGTAAGCTACTTTTATCTCTTTCGTATTTTTTTTTAAATTTTTAACTACATATTATCCGCACAGATTTCAAAATTTATTTGATTCATTTTTACAAGATCTCCTTTGATGACTAGCCATATTTTTAAGCACAAAACGTCTTAACTAACTTAACTTTATGTAATAACATGAAAACAACTTGTTAACTCGAAATATTGTAAATAATATATTGTGAGGATTTGTGTACAGGAGGCTAATGCTAGCAAAATATGAAATTTTGAATAAAACTTATATTAGACCTGTTACACCACTTTAATGATTTGATGGGTGAAAGATGAGCGTAGTGCAACAAAAATATATAATTACTGTTCTGGTTGTCAAACTTTTGTTGCCTTGTGGAATGTTTTAAGAGGGACATTGCTGCCCATCCCTCGATTATTAAGTTCCCTCAGTGACCTCTTATGACACCCACGAAAAAGGAAGGGATGGTCCATTCTATGCAAAGACTACATAGCTTTCAATAATAATTCAATGAAATTAATTAATAATTTCTTATAAGACTTACGATCTTGATTAGACCTCGGATGTGGTTACTTTATTAGTGTCAGAAAATCACATTTATTAAACATGTACCTATTGCTTTTTCAATTCATGTTGTAGTATTCTTGTTAGCACGGAAAATTACAATTAGATCTAAGTAGAATTCAGTATGTATCTGAATAGATAAATACTGAATTCTACTTAGACTGGTAAATACCAGAGTTCTTTATTTATTGTAAAATATTGTAAACAATTTTATAAATAAGGATATTGACGATAAAAATTTATAAATTACAAATTGTTTAAGGCGTGTTTTACCGGAAATAAAAGAGGAGGTACAAAAACAAAATGGTACTTATAATAACTGTTATTTTTCACTCTGCCTTATAACGAGAGGTTATTCTTATAATTTGATTACCAAATAATTCAATAGTTTCTAATAATTTAATTATATCTGTATAATATTTAAATATTGTAGTCTTAATATCGTTAATGTTATCTTATTTTTAGATGTTTTACGGGGCAGAGAGTTACGAAAGATGGACATCAATACGGAGTACTTGGATGCCAGTTTAGTTCTCTCGACTCGGTTCAAGGACGGGCTATGAGATTTGTATGTATACTTGGAAATTTCACCTCCACCTCAAGTAATATAATTTGTTTATTTTTATTATAATGAAACACGATAATAAATTAATAAAATCTGTTCATTACATTTGTACAAAAAATAAATTGCTAAAATTGTAAAAAAGTTTTTTAAGTCGACAGACTTTCAATAATAATGCGTAATTAGCTAATTTGTTTATAATTTCTTTTTTGAAACAAAAGATATAATTGTTACACATATAAAATTATCTTCATTAATTTTTTTTATTATTAGGAGGGCAAACGAGCAGACGGTCTACTTGATGGAAAGCGGTTACCGTCGCCCATGATATATTTGTAATACGAGAGGAGTTGCTTGTGCGTTGCCGGCTTTTTAAATATTTGTATGTATAAAGTTATACTTTTTTCTTATTTTTTAATTCTTCATAGATATTTTTAAATCTATTACATAAATGAACTTTTTATGTACTTGATAAATATATAGTCTATATTAGATGGCTTTGTCCTTAAACGTTTTCGATAAAACGCGTCATAAGAATTTTTGGCAATTTTTTATTCCCAAAAATCCTTTCTTTTCTTTCAATTCAGATATATTTCAATGCAACTATGTCATATACTTTTATATATAGGCGATAGGTCGTAATTATACAACAAGGCGTGTTCATGAATTGCTTGTTCACCTCCTGAAGTATTCGTATTATATGAGTATAAAACTTTTAATTGTGACACTCAAATTTTTAATTATGTGACTTCATTTTTTGTGCTTAGGATGGTTTTTATTTAATTAATTAATTTTTAGAATAACATATATATATGTTATTAAAATCCCTCTAATACATATACATATAGTGTACAATATATAATAATATAATAAAATAATGTATATAATTTGTAAATATAGCTAGATTTTATCCGCGACTTCGTCCGCATGACCGGGATATTTTTACTGACCTACATAAAAAGTAGCCTGTATCATTGTGCATCTCATATAGTATGTTTGTACTAAATTTTGTAGTGACTGGTGAAGTCGTTATGGCCTTATAAGGTAACAAACGAATAAACTCACTTTCATATTTATAATATTAGTAAGAATACATAATCCTTCATTTGAAAATCTGACACTTAACTTGTTATATATTGCAAAAGTAAAAAAAAATTAATTGGGATTTAAAATTATTATTAAGTAGTACTCGTAGGTATTGACATAAACGGAACGTTTAACTCAAAATGTTATTAAGGTGGTGGTACGCGGCGTGGTGTAGCAACGGCGCATAGTTACTTAGAAATTATTATTTTTATAAACTTATAAGATTCAAACTGTATTCATATATCAAAGCGACAGTAAAGCATATTCTTTTATTGTTGTAGCATGCAGTTCTAAATTAGGCTCTACATCTTTTTATGCAACTGGAAATGGTGAATTTAATGGAAAGTAGTGACCGTTTTCTGTTGACATACCCATGCAAGATGTAACAAAATACACTGTGTTACCCATGATTTTCACATGCGTTGTTCATCTCAAAGATTCAGACGCATTCATAATTTGTAATTTCACTGCGATATCCCACTTTTTAAATTAAAGATTTATATGCTACTACTTAAGGGAATTTAATAGTCGAGGGATAGGCAGCAGCATCTCTCTAAAAACATCTCTAAAAGCCTACTCGCGGTTACTAACCCGCCTGGTAAAAATGGCAACTACTGACAAAACTCCGCTTATGGGGGCTGATATGATAATGTAGGCTGATTTTCTATCTTGTAGCACTTTTTAATTGTTTTTTAATATTCGTTGACTTTTAACAGCATTATTATAATTAAATATACAATTATTTAAATGATATAAGGATATATAGGTATTGTTTTTAAGATATGCTGTTGTTTGATAAATTTCAATAAAACACTTTTAAAATAAATTCTCAATATTATATATTTGAAATTTAATTTAATTTTAATTAATCTTTATTGACGTGAAATGTGATACAAAATCTTTGGAAAGTGCAAAGATACACTTTTAGTGTAAAGTGCGGTTTAGTATAAAAAAAATATATATAACATAGTCGTACATTAATCTACCCTTACAAAATCGTTTCTCCTGACGGACTATCAACACAGCTAAAACTATTTAGTCTAGAAACTGAAATTTGAAACATAGGTTTATTTTATAATGTAAACATACGTTAGAAAGGATTTTTAAAAATTTTAATTAAAGGATAAATATTCGGGCAACTGCTTGTGAGTGCTTATATGTACATATTAATAACGTTTATTAATGTATATATTAATAATGTATATGTACATTAATATGATTTTACCAGAGAAAGACTCTGTATAAAAGTCGTTTACTTGGGCACTTCTGTCTCATTCGTATTTCTACCGTGAAGTAGTTATATTTGCATGGCTGTGTTTCGGTTTAGAGGGTGGGATATGGCAGTGAATTTACAGGGTATGGAAGAATAACACCCGAGTTCTCAAGAATGGGCGACGGTTACCACTTTCCATCAGGTGGGCCGTCAGCTTGTTTGCCATACTAAGTTGCATAAAAAAAGTCATATTATTATATTTTTTTCTAATAATTATAAAGTAATATCTTAGATATACTATATATATATATATATATATATATATATATATATATATATATATATATATATATATATATATAATTACGTAGGATGGTAATAAATTTTTCTGTATTTATTATAAGAAACTACTTAAAAGATGAGCACGTACATGCTTCTTAAATGTATGTTTGATATTTACCGGAAGTTTCTAATGTAGGTATAAAGGGGGGTAGCAAGCGCAAGGGAGTTTTTGGAATGCAAATTACGATTATGGGTATCTCGGAGATCTTGAAATTTTGTTTCAAGACGTTTTGGAGAAAAGGGGTCAAATAGAATTCAATTTAATCACTAATGTAAAAATGGTAACTTTGCCCATTCTTAAAATATTTTTTGCACTGGCTTCTTTTGCACCTTTTAGATTGAAATTCAAAAATGCATAATTATATTTTCATTCAATAATTAAGTAGACAATCTAATTATAATTTTTGTAGTTAATTTGTTAGATACATATGTAGATTCCAAACTTAACCTCAAAAGGAGGATTTTTGTTTTTGGAATATTTGGAAAAAAACTAAATTGCATTCAATTATATAAGACATAAAAAATGTAATCAAACTGTACTTAGGTCAGACCACATAGCTCTGATACCCTAAAGGTATATCCGTTGGTAGGGTTGATGAGGCGAGCTACAATTCCTCAGCTACACAGTTTCACCTCCATAAAAACTAAAACCTCCTACAAACCTATTGTGTTACATTCTTTCTAATTGGGAATTTAGTACAAGTGAAACCAACAAAACAGTTCAATAGCGAAAATAGGTTTATAATAGAGGTTTGACGTTTTTATAAATTAGGGAGTTTGCCCTTCGCAGACTGGCATTAATAATTTATTTGTCCGAAATGAATGGGTATTTATGAAGATTATTCCATGGAAAAAGGGCAGATAACTAATAATATTGTTATTTGGCCCTTTGAGGATAGCCATTGGTTAATGATAATTATAAGGCTTTCATAAAATGTTCTGTACTATTATAATTTCTGCTGATGTTGATATAATTAATATATAAAAACAAACGCTTTACTCTATATTGCACATAAAATAGATAGTAACTATCAAGTTTTTTCTATACTTCGGTATAGAATAAAAACTATACCCACATATAGACTCAGTAACAGTGTTTTATAGGTATTCAGATTAGTAGACCTCTATAAATAGTTCTTACTAAAACACTTGTTTTCACTGAAATACAACTAAATACCACTTGCTTGTTCTTTATTTCTATTTATGTATAGTTAATCCGTTGTAGTATTACACTGGTATTTCATACCTTTATTAATTTCTAATAACTTTATTAATTATTTATTGCGGTGGTCATTATAAATTTATAAGATAACAAGTCGTTCCATATTTACTGCGGGACAGTATTATAATTACTTTAATTAGATGCACGTACATTTTGATAATGCGTATGTGTGGGCGCGGCGCGGGCGCTAAGGGCGGCGGCGGCGGGCGGGCGTCGCGAGCCGGTCACGGACTCTCACTGCCCATAGTGCGCCGGCGCAGCGCATACGCGCTGGCTCCAAATTTAAACGCATACATAGCTAAATATATATACCTATGTATATATTATTTATTACTATCTAGCTAGTAAAATCATATAGGTACTCAATATGCTCGACTGGAATGTTTTTTGGCAAAACATCGAATCATTAAATTAGCTCCACCTAGAGATTCGTATACATAGGTCAAAATCTAGAAAAACAATGTTCTTTTTTTCAGTTTAACATTATAAATATTACGTGCGTAGTTATCTTTAGCACCACCGGTGCAGTTATTTATACCTAACATACATCTGTTGACAAAAACAAAACTGGATGTTTACGAATATTTTTTGTCTCATTATCATAATAATTCTTACCTAGTTATTTTTAGATAATAATAGGTACAAAGGCTCCAATTTCTCATACCTTGGATTTATCATATTATAATCAGGAATACTAGAGGCACACGAATCACAACAGACGGATAAATATTTGAGTAGTAATTTGAGAATTAAATAAAAAATCAACTACTAACGTCGCTCGTCAGTAGTTACTGTAACATACTTTGTTTAAAATAAAAATTATTTTATTATAAGAGTTACTAATAACTGAATCGTTATTAGTAACTCATAAAGAAAGAAGGCTAATTGTTAGGATATCTGTATGAAGCCTAAGTTACTACTCATGACCGGATTTCCAGTTTAGATATTTTACAGTCAGGTTTCATATATGTTTGTCTAGTCCACTCATCGCAAGGTGAACCAAAATGTTACAACAACATGATGTAATAAAAGAGTAAGACTATAGATAACTATTATATTCGAGGTTGATTACTGAAATAAAATAAAGTTTGGAAAGGAATTCTGTAAACATCGTTTTCTAAAGTTAGTCTCAAAGGAAAGTAATCTCAGAATACATGTTGATGTACCATTAGCATGTTAATTCTTCAAAAAAGCCGTAGTCTAATCTTTTATGACTAGAGTATACAATTTCAGTTATTTTATATGGTATTCTTTACCAGCTAACCATTAGGTAAAAGCAAAAAGCGTATGAAGGGCAGATGTGCTGAAAAATATGTGTCGTAATTATAGTAACATATTGAAATAATCACACATAATACATAAGAAATGCACATATAATACATAAACATTACTCTTAATATATGTGAATATACTAATATATATGAAATATATATAGATATATACCTCTACATATCAAAACAGCGATAAACATTATGAGATATAGTAACTATTGAGTAACTTGTAACTAGAGCTGATATTGTAATAATAATTGTTATAAAGTTAAATAAATATACTTGTAATTGTAATCATAAATACTATCGTAAGAGTCATTTTTAAGTTAGTTCAAAATGTATCAATAATATTCTAATAGTGATACATTCATGTAAAAGTAATAGTTGTTTAATTTATCATAATCTGAAAAATATTTATATGGCAGAACAACGTTTGTCGGATCAGCTAGTAAACATATATAATTAAATTTTCTAACAAAGGTGGTGAATTTAACACACCAGAAACTTAATTTGCATTTGTAACTCTCATAGAACTTTATACGGCACTTAGTTTGCAATTTACATCAGTAGGTTGCATAGGCATGTATGATTTAATTACGAGATCATAATCTAGTTATGTCAAGTCTAGATAAGTATAACATAAGCACGGCTCTTAGTCTATTTATTATTATTCATTAAATAAAGTAAAATTAACTGTGTAGGAACAGTGTCTTACTCGTCAGTGTCTATTATTAGATGTCTGTATATATGTGGATATATTTTAACCAGCACATGATTATTTCCAAAAATATATTAAGTACTTAAACGTAATATACATATATCTAGAAATAATTGTGTACTCAATAACATTTTAAAGTAACAAATAATTTATATTGACTTATGAACAGTTTAATTTTAGAGTTGAGAGACTAATCAATCCATTAGTCAATTCCAATAATAGTTCTATTTCATTTATAATCGATTATGATTATTGTAGACACGTAAATCTTTTTTAAGTATTGTTCGGAAAGAACACTGTTAGGTAGGTAATTATATGGTATGAATAAGGTATAAGGTAAGGTATAAGGTATATTAGTATGAAAACTAGTTATCACAAAGAAATTCGTAATAATGGCTCCGTTTTAAAATTAACTAAAATGATAAAAATAGAAATCTATGCCTGACTGTCTAGTATCAGTGAATAACAGTGATACGTATACATATATTATTTAATAAAGAACGTTAACTTATACAAAGAGATTTATTTATAAAATTAAAAAAGCAATAAAAAACTGGTTGACTTGATATTTTGTATTTAATTTTATATCTAAGGAATGTCTCTTCTACGAGATTTTTACTCATAAAATATCAGTCAGTTTGTCCTCTGCTACTCGTACTTCTCTTAGTTATATACGTGAAAAATTTAAATAAATCCAGTAAACACTATAAATTAACATGTATTTGGGTTATTGTATTATTTAATTCGATGACATTGAAGATACATTTATATCTTATATACGACATTGAAGACCTTCAATCTTTGGTGTAGCAATTTAATACACTGCTCCACCTTCCGAAGACTGTAGGTTCGCTTTCAATTCGGTTTATAAACAGATTTTTGTATTGATCTAGGCGTTATTATTATGGATAATATTATATGTACATTCATATTAAAGCTATTTCAATATATATCCATTGTTAAATAGTATCCAAATTATGCTTAATTTCAGTCAGGGCTTCAGAATTTATTTATTTATTAATAAGCTGTATTTCGTGTTTTAATCTGCGTGAATCAGTATATAAAATATCCTACGTTCTAATTTGGGTTATAAATTATCCATATACAAATTTATAATATTAGTAGATAGGACATGTAATTACAAAAATAAGGAAAAACTTGAAAATAAGTCTTATCGTTGGATGTCTGATACAATCTCAGTCAGTTTTATTTCTTGAATATCTGTTTATGACATTAATTTGAAGTAGTGTCTTTCTTTATTTAATCTAATATTAATATGTTAGTCAGACAGTTCTATTATTCGAATGAATAGACTGGGCGTGGTAATAAGAACAATAAACACAAATTGCAATAATAACACCCTTAACGACAGTAGCACCATTTATGCCTATGTATTGGCTTTATTATGAAAGCGGTAAAATTCGTGTTAGGATTGTACGAGTACAGTGCACTGCTGTACGAGAAATTTAATCAACAGCCTGTTGCTATTTTGCGCAGTTGACCGCCACCTCTTATAGCCGACCTCTTTCCGACTCGAGAATCGGATAGTAATGTTTTGTCTTTATTTGTAAATTATGTTATATACTATAGTTCTTTGCTATAGGCTATATATATGCTTTCAAAATAAATCGAAATTGTCAATTAAGATAACATTCGAGGTATCTTACCGTAGCGAGTAACAGATGTTCCCAATTAAATTTTGATCGGAAATATTATATTATTATATAAATAACATGATAGAAAGTCTATTAATAATATTATTATTAATTTAATACTTGTAAATACAAACAAGGACGTAGCTGTAAAACATGTTTGACTTTGGAAATTTGCCAAAGTCTCGGTTTCAAAATGTCATAATTAAAAAAGTAATATAATTAGTTATAAAGGTGTTGCTACTTTTATTTTTTGCGATCTTCTTTTTCCAGTTTAAATATTTATGATTCAGATTTTGTGTATGAAATACATAATTAAGATTCAGATAAGTCAACAAAATACAGAATGTTGCTAGTGTTTGTACATATTTGATTTAGGTGCCTCATTGAGTATACAATATTTTCTCATGTGAGAAAAATAGAAATACATATTAGTATCGGGTGAAAAGAAGACATCGTTTGTATACAAAATATCAAACATGACTGACGGTTGAATAGATCGCGCTAAAATTTCAGACGACTGTAACGTAAAAAACCAGTATTTGGATGTGGATTGGTAAAGAAAAAATTTGAAACGTATGATGTGATGTCACAACGAATTTCACTTGACAAATTATAGATAGGTGTGCTAAGGTAGACAGCATTTGAGTATTGATTATTGATATTAATTTGAAAAGTATTTCTTACGAAATATACTTAATTTCTTGATAATTTTGGGTGAAATTGACAAGCCATAAGGATACTTCACCATAGGACTTTAAAGACATTAAATAAAGTTCTATGAAGATATGCCCTTGAGAAGTAACCTCGTAAGGTCAGCACCAATACATTTTAAAAACTTATTTATTGTTAGATACATAAAAAATATTAAAGTTGGTTTATTAATTAACAATCTGATTTATAATAATGCTTTGAAATTATTCTTCGATTTTTTTGCAATGTTCTAATTTATATGAAATATCTATGTTCGTAATTATAATACGACTACTTCTGTACGTACGAATGACAGTCGTTAATATTTAATAAGATTAACAAATATTGAAATGTCCTGAATAAATTATAATAAATCTTTTAACTGAAAGAGGTAACTTGCGTAACATTAACTAAAAATGTCAAGACTGCGTAATGCGAGTTACTATGGAGAATACAAATAATTTTCATTGTCGAATATTTCGCAATGAATATATTTTGAGTGTTATAAGTATGCCACGTGGGGTCGGTCTGAGATCGAATGTGTAGGCGAGGGGATAGCTACACACCGCGATACTGTATCCAAGACGAGCGGTGCGCGGCGCGCGTTCCGATTGAATCCGTGCCAGGCGCCGGTCAACCAAAATAATTTTCATCTCCACACTCATCAGCATGTTACTTTGAACATTATTCAGATTAGATCAATTATGTAGGTTAGACAAAGTGTGTTAGGAGATTTTGACTTATTTACTTCAAAGTGAATGTACGTAAGGTCATTTTTACAAGTCGATACGCGTACACAATGAATCAAGATTTGTTTATTTGTGTACTTTTCTATATTTTTATTAACAAAGTTCTAGGGAATTTCGTAAGTTTACCTGACACATACTAAGTTATTCTTTCATTTAGACCGTGTTCTAAGTCTTATGTTAT